TTTTTTTTTTTTTTTTTTTTTTTTTGAGTTAAATGTGTTTAATTGAATGAGTTACAAAGGGAGATACCAGATTCCTGCACAGGAGGGTAACTCAGAACCTAAGAGCTTGAGGAAATTATCCTAATTTTTAAAACTAGAAAAACATGTCCCCTTGGCATTATTAGATCTTGTGAACCCTAAATCTCTCTTTATTATAGAGATACAGCTAGTGCTCGACTTACGACCACGATTGGGACCAGCAGACTGGCCGTAACACGATTTTGTCGTAAGTTGAGTAGGCTATATGTACAGTTGAAATGGTGCACGCGGAGATGGTAGTGCTGCTGGAAGCTGGTCCGCACTGTCGTAGGCCCAGCTGGGCAACGTTTGCTCTGCCAGACGCAGGGCAGTCGTGGCTAGCGATTGTGGTCGTAAAGTCGAATGGTCGTAAGTTGCATAGGTCGTAAGTCGATCAATACCTGTAATCTCTCAACATTATACGTAGGACCCTGTCCCGGTAAGACTCTGTCCCTACTTATTATGGCTTCTAGCAGCCATCCTTTTAAGAGGTAGAATCTCCTAAAGCTGCCTTTGTGTGTGTGTGTGCACACATGTGCTGGAGGTGATCACATATTTGAACTGCGACTTAAATGTAACATGTTTCTAAGCAGTGTCTTCCATATTCTAATTTCCTGCCTGTTGGCCTAGCTAGGATGCTTCATAACTACTCTAAAGGAAGTTGATAAGAACTGCAGAGTAGTCATGAAACGTCCTAGCAAGGCCGAACAAGAAACAGGATGGTTTCAGTCTGATCATAAAACAAGATAACTATTTGACAAGAGACTTGACCCAGTTTCATGAGGAGATTAGGCTACAGTCTTAAAATTCCTCGGAAATCAGTAATTTTCTTACAGGATCAGAAAGCCCTTCCAGCTGTCTCAGGCATCTTGATCCTCTTACCTTTCCAGCTGTAGGTAACGATGCCCTGGTTAGGGTAAATTAAGAGGAAAATGGTCCTGTTCAAAATGATCTAAGAGTAGAAACCCATGGAGGGCGGCTTGAGGGGTTCCTCAGATATTACCTTAATCTAATTCCTTGAGGAGAAAAATCTGTGAGCTTTCTCACCGACTGCCACTAATTAAGAATAAATGAAATAATGTATTTTATTCTTGCATGTACTCAACTGTTTCTAAAGGAGTAAGCAAATCCTTTAAGAGCAAACTGTTGAGTTTTCACTTCTCTATAAAGAAAGTTCTCAGCCATCGAGTACCCTAAATACAAAGGGTTGAGGGGATTGTTAAATCGAATGCAAGAATTCATTCTAAGTGCTGTATATGAATTAACTTAGGCCTGTATAAAGGTAATTGCTAACAATCCACCCTCTTCACAGATGAATAAATTGAGAAACAGATACATAATTTGCTGAAGGTCACACAACTAGTATTTGGTGGAGGGGTATAGTTATTTAGCCTGAAAGGAATCCACAGAAGGAATGTAAACTTTAAGGGATTTCACATCTGTTTTATCAGCTGAAAAGCCAGTGAACATTTATTTTTTCCCCATTGATATCTAGGTTTCCTTCCACTAATGATGATTTATTTGTATGTATCAATATATGCAATGATGTGTGTATTCCCTTACAATGAGTCCCATGTATCCATGGGATAAGTTTTATATCGAAATTACGAGAGAAGCCTAAGGTGCTTTGTAAGATCCCTTTCTCTTCAGCACTTTAAACTCATTGATTGTCTTGCAGTTCCATTACTCAGACTTCTAACAACTTTCATTTGCAGATTTTTGAAGTTTCATAGGATAAATCATACATTGTACACATAGATTTAAAATGTTCTCCTTGGGAGTGCTTTCATTTCTGGAAATTGCCGTGAACCTGAGGATGAGCAAAAAAGGTAAAATATTTGTATACGATATTAGAGCATTGCTGAGAATTTCTTGGAAGACTTGGGAGCTGTAAACATTAGATCAGTGATTCTCAACTGAGGATAATTTTGTCTGTCATTTGTCACACTGGGGATTGTCATACTGGTGGGATGCCACTGGCATCTAGTGCATAGAGCCCATGCATGCCCTACAATGAAGAGGAACGTCCCCCCAAACAAATCACTATCCATTCTCAAACGTCAACAGTGCCACTGTTAAGAAGCCCTGGATTAGAACAGTAACAACTTTTTATAGGATACACTTTTATAAATTCCTACTTTTGAAAAGTTTATTAGACAAAGTATTTTATATACAGTGCACTGAAATCTGTGTAAACATAATGCAGATTTGTTTACTATGTATGATAAGAAATGTGAGCATGCACACAAAAAATTAAATTAAAAATACATTCCTTTGTGAATGTCTACTTGGGAGAATCTGTTTCTCCAGTGTATAAGTCTTTCCATTCTTCTTTTTGTTTACAGGAAAATGGATTATAACACAATCTTTAAACATAATAATATTCATTTTTTGAATAAATGTCTTAGAGCACAGCACATATCTTATTCTCCACTGTATCCCTCAGAAAACCCAGACCAGTTCCTTAGACACAGTAGAAATTAAATAAAGTATTATTGGATGAATGTATGGAAAGATGAATGAATGAATGACTGAATAAATTATGATCTACAATTTTAAGTTTATGATATATTTCCATTTAGTCAATGTATGCTTTAAGTAACAATCAACAGAAAAAGTCTACTGAACAACGTTATCTAACATCAAATTCATGTCTTTATTTTTATACAAGGTAGAACAGGTGTACCAAACCACTGGGCCATGGACCAGTGCCAGTCTGTGGCCTGTTAGGGACCAGGCCGCAGAGCAGGTGGTGAGGGGCGGTGAGCGAGCATTATCACCTGAGCACCACCTGCTGTCAGATCAGTAGCAGCATTAGATTATCATAGGAACACACACCCTACTGTCAACTGGGCATGAGAGGGTTCTATGCTGCACAGTCCTTATGTGAATCTAACGCTTGATGATTTAGGGTGGAACAGCTTCATCCTGAAATCATCCACATCCTCTCTAGCCCACCCCACACCTCAGTCTGTGGGAAAACTGTCTTCCACGAAACCAATTCCTGGTGCCAAAAAGTCTGGGGACCACTGAGGTTTAAAATAGGTTTTAGGCTGGGTGGGGTGGCTCACGCCTGTAATCCCAGCACTTTGGGAGGCCGAAGCAGGCACATCACGAGACTGAGACCATCCTGGCCAACATGGTGAAACCTGTTTCTACTACAATTACAAAACTTAGCAGGGCGAGGTGGCACGCACCTGTAGTCCCAGCTACTCAGGAGGCCGACGCAGGAGAATTGCTTGAACCTGGGAGGCAGAGGTTGCAGTGAGCTGATACCGTGCCACTGCACTCCATCCTGGGTGACAGAGTGAGACTCTGTCAAGAAGCAAGCAAGAAGAAAGGAAGAAGGAAGGAAGGAAGGAAAAGAGGAAGGAAAGGAAAGGAAAGGAAAAAGGAAAGGAAAGGGGTTTTAAAGCTTTCTTGGAGAAAGTCTATTTGGAGGATCTAATTCCAGATTTCAAGGGGCTGATTATGGCAAGTATATATACGTAAATGGCTCATTAGTTAGGATCATTTGTTATAAAAATACTATAGTCATCTATTCGTACATAAATATTTCTAAATATATAAATCATCTTATAATAATATAACCTGTATTATTATGGCAACTGCTCTTAAGGTGAAGCTTCTGAAATTTTATGTAAAATCACATGCACGGCCGGGCGCAGTGGCTCACGCCTGTAAACCCAGCACTTTGGGAGGCCCAGGTGGGTGGATCACGAGGTCAAGAGATCGACAACTTCCTGGCCAACATGGTGAAATCCCATCTCTACTAAAAGTACAAAAAATTAGCTGGGCGTGGTGGTGCGCACACGTAGTCCCAGTTACTTGGGAGGGTGAGGCAGGATCATCGCTTGAACTCGGGACGCGGAGGTTGCAGTGAGCTGAGATTGCGCCACTGCACTCCAGCCTGGTGACAAAATGAGCCTCCAAAAAAATCAATCAATCAATCAATCACATGCGCTTTGGCGTAGGTATTATTGTAAAGTGAGAGTATCAAACAACTTTTGTTGGATCCAATATTGGTCCGTGCCTCCCAAAAGGATAAGAATATCAAATGTTCTGTGGTAAAATAATGAGCATCAGTAAATAAGAAGGCATACCTAGGCTTTGGCACAAAGGAGAGTAGGCTGAATTCAATAGTTAAGAGCTTCCTGCGCACTGGAAGTTTCCAAAGGAGTGAAGGAGCAGACATAAGCCATCCCATCAGATATCTTGTGAGACATCCCATAATAAACCACAGAGGAGG